TGCGGATGCATCTGACCGTAATCACGTCCAGAACTCAGTAGACAAGTTCCTCATGTGAGTATGCCCCCTGAGCCAATGGTTGGCACTGCGTCCACGACGAAAAATTCACCGAGGTAACCAATTGTTGAAGTGCGGGCAACGAGTTACGACTCCTCCCGCTAAAAACAACTTCCAGTTATTATATCGGTATCTGGCCTGAACGTTGCACTTTATACCGATATATATAGTGACCCGCCCGTGTTCTGTTTGGGGAATACCCTGGTCTCCATGCTTGTTCAAAAAAAAAAAGAAAAAAAAAAGGGCGGTCGTAGATGCATCTAGCCGTAATCACCTCCACTCAAGAGCTCAGTAGAATTGGATCCGTACCAACGAGAGCCTAACTCAGTTGCTACACCCTCGAACTGCTGGATAACAGACCCCTACCGTCTTCACCGGAATAGAACGCCCGGTCATTATCGCTGCATCTGGACTGACAGTTGGGCCAAATTCAGCTTATAATGACCGGGCGTTCTATTCGGATGAAGACGGTAGTTCGAATCCACATGGACCTTGATGAATGGTATGAAATAGTAATTCTGAATTACCTGGGGTAGGTCAACTCGATGATGATATCTCAAGGCCGTCGCTCTTTGGGAAGGGAAAAAAAAAAAGAGTGGAAAGAAGGGGAACTTTCCGGGTTGAATTGTGAGGTCCCCGGCCTCTTTTTTTTATTTTTTATTTTTTATTTTTTATTTTTATTGGGAACAAGGCTCCAATCTATTCATGGGGAGAAGCACGTGCTGGAACATTTGAGTTTGGTAATGAATTGCTCGTGTTGGTTAATAATAAAAAAATAAAAAAAAGAAAAGAATATTTGGATCCGTCTCGTGGCCGAACCTATGCTTATCTTAATAGGCAGTAATGAACCGTTCGGTATACATATGGATTATCAGTTCAACGAATCTCAGGTAAGAAAAAAAAAGAAATTGAAATCTTGTGTTAATTGAAATTTGTGTTAAAGCAAAAAAAGTAAAAAAAGTGTTGAACTGCCGGTGATAAGCAACCGGACCGATGCCCCCAAAAATAGATGAGGCCTTTGGGCGGTTAAAAAAAAAAAAAGAAACTTCCAAAAATATAGATAGCGATTGAGAGAATAACATAGATTAGCTTCAAAAGTAAAAAAAAAAAGATATTGAGGAAAATTAAAATATATGAGTCGGTGAAACTCCGACGAAACAGTTTGTCACAGCCCCTCGTTTGTTGTCCTCTTCTCTCTCTCTGCCTACGGTTTTACCGGGCAGTTCTGTTTGTGACCTGTCTCTTATACACATCTAGATGTGTATAAGAGACAGGTGTATGTATTCTGCTCTTCGAAAAAAGAAAAAAAATTAGTGGATGGAATCTATGGATGTACTCCGTAAGTTTTTTTTTTTTTTTTTTTTTTTTTAACAAAGAGTCAATT